CAAGAGGCGAATGTCTGCGTGAATATTCCGACGATAAGAACTCCGTCGAACAACCCTCTCCGGCAAATTTTGGCCGTTTTTCAGTGAAAAATATGGTCACTGTAAGCTATGTATTTACTAAGAAGTTTAACACTGGACTTTTATTCATAATTTTTTTCTTTAAATATTGTTCTTTGTTAAGGATTCCATTTTGAATATTGTTCTTTATTTATTTCACTATAAAACAGACAATGTGAGAATAATAATCTCTTTGTAATTGTTCATATCTACCAACCATTTATTATGTTAGGTTATGTTTGGTTTTCCCGTCGATAAAAGCACCAAGAATCTCCAGTTCATTGAGTTAGGCCATGATCGTGAGGATATGATCCCTTACGGGATTACCCTCACGCATGTGCATGTTCATCAGCACTCTCATAGCCTCCTATATGGCAGCCAGGGGCTGGTGGCCAGATAGATCTTTGAGATTGAAGAGTATATCAGAAGCCGAACCAATAAACTGATACTGATGTTGCAGCACATTCGACATAGATGTCATAATGTAACACCACACCATCTTATCAGCCTTCTTCCACTTCCCCGTTTAGACCCCGAATTACAAATAATTTGTCTCCCAGTTCATTGCTCGATTTACCTCCTTATTTTTAAGATCTAATGTTTGTTGATTAATTTAATTACTGATATTATAATTAATTAACTTCTATATCTGAAGCTAGTACCATTCAGTTCCTTATTATTATGTCGGAACTTAATTCGCCGGCGGGGCTTAACATAATAATTTTTCTAGATCTCAATTTAGGAACGTCATCAACCCGGCGGACTGGAACACAGTGACCATAAACAATTTCTACATCACATCATGTACTTGGTCATTACTTACCACAATACGGAGCCTGTCGACCTACCGAAATAAGTTTCACCCATGGTAAATCAATTAAACAAGTACTGAATACACTATTCTGTCTTTATTGTCTTGCGGGTTAACCTGGTTCAACTAGATTGCTTCTGGGTCGAGTCTACCCGGTATGGTATCTCATATGATCATCTGGTCCTCCGCACTCTTCCCATATTAGAGCAGTTCTTGATATTCATAAAATATTTGTACCAACAACCGAAATTATAAATAATCGTACCGAACCGAATAACCGAACAAGAATCGATTTTAATTCTAAAATTCATATACATATAATATTTAATCTTATGCTTTCTTTTCATCTTTGTACATAATTATATTTAAAGTTCAGTTGCAAATGAAATTCATATATATTATGTCTATGTCTATACATCTATCATAAATTATATTGATATCGAATTACAATTAAGCCTCCACTATTCAATGTTAATAGAATTTAATGTTTGAAAAATTAATTATTTTATTTTCGAACAACATATGAGGCATTATTAAATCTAAGAACTCATTTTCGAATTAATTTTTGAAAATAAAATAAAATTAATATACTTTCATATCACAAAATTTGGTAACCAACATGTCAAGTATTTTATTAAGAAAAATATTAATTATAACTTAATCATATTCAAATATCAAATGTTTGAAAATCGGCCTTTATGTAGTAAATCTTTCACAACATTTGAAGACAATTATTTATTTAAATATATATATTCAAATTGATAGATATTTACCATAATATTTGATTATGAACAAATATACCGATTATTTCATTAATAAATTAACAAACTATAACTTAATAAGATTAAATATCCTCATTTTTCGAAAACAAGCTTTATATGTATAATATGCGTATCTCACAATATCGGAAAAAAATAATTTATTTGAAGATAATATATGTCCAAAATATCCTTTTATGTAACAAATAACTATCTTTAAATTGATTATTGTTCATGGGTATGCCTTATCACTTGCGAATTTTTTGACATATAAACGATTTGAATAAAAATCTACCAAATTTTGTGTTAATGATATTTTGCAACTAAAAAATATTTATCACTCTTTTTACGAATTAAAATAAAAAATTTAACCACAAATACTGATTATTAATTGATGAAATATCTTTTGAAATTAAGATAGGTTTGTGATAAAAAATAAAAATTGGTGAAATCTCCGATATGTACCGAACTGATCCATTAGACCCGAATCACCAAATCGAACCGAACCGAATGAAGATTTATTGGAATCGGTTCGGCTCCAAAGATCCAATTTTTGGGATCTCTGAAGTTCGATTCAGTTTTGATATATTTTTTTTTTATCTCTGAACCGGACCGAACCAACTCGTGCTCAGCCGCACTATAGTATGAAAATTGAATTTGAAATGAAATGTGACAAACAATTTCATTGATACAACATTATGGTATCACCACATGATTGCACTATAACATTATTGCATCACAATATTACACCAAATGAATTACAAAATATGCTTTAAATGTTTGGTCGATTAATAGAT